AGGACGTACATACTTTTCTATTCCATCTCAGTAAATAAGACCCATACTTCAAGAGCTAGTTTTCTGGCAGTAACAAGAGAACTTTTAATTAGCATTACAGTTATTTTAAAAGACTTCTATGATGAAACTAACTTTGATCATCTTTTATTTTCAGTTTCAGAGCAAGACAGAGACATTTCAAATAAGAACAGAGTCTCAAAATAGACTATGTGGGTGACTTTGTTGTTGCTGTTTTACTCCTTGTTCAAACTATGGTTTTCACACTATCCACACACTTACCTCTGCGGTATCAGAGCAGTAAGGAATGAGCAGCATGGCTTCAGCATCTTCTAGAAACATAGACGTGTAACTGCAGTGCTGTTGGCAGAGGAGACCCTTTCCCAGGGTATGTAATGATCCCGATCTTCTCTGAAATGGAAGAGTACTTAAATCATACAAGGAGTCGGAGGGAGGAAGGGAGTGAAGGAAGGAGAGGGAGAGAGGAAAAGAGGGAGGGAGAGAGAAGAAAGAGGACAGGAAAAGGGGAGGGGAGAGGAGAACATGAGGGATCAGGAAGGATGAGTTGGGGGAAGAACAGAGGAGGAGATCAAGGGAAGAGATACCTTGATAGAGGGAGCCTTTATGGGCTTAATGAGCAACCTGGCATTAGGGAAATGTTCAGGAATCCACAAGGATGAACCCAACTAAGAATCTAAGCAACAGTGGAGAGGGTACCTTAAATGAACTTCCTCCATAATAAGATTGATGACTACTTTAAATGCTACCATAGAACCTTCATCCAGTAGTTGATAGAAGCAGCAGCAGAGATTCACAGCTAAACACTGAGCAGAACTCCTGGAATCCAGTTGTGGGAGTCATTAGAAAAGGGGTTAACAGGCTGAGCAACCCCACAGAAACAGCTGACCTGACTAGGGGGAGCTCATTGTCCCCAGACTGACAGCTGGGAAATCTCAACCAGGCCCCCTGAAGTGGGTGTCAGTTAGCAGGCCTGGGCATTCTATGAGACCTCTGGTAGTGGAACAGTATTTATCCCTAGTGCATGAATGGACTTTGGGAGCCCATTCCACTTAGAGGGATACTCTCTCAATCTAGACACAAGGGGAGGGCCTAGACCCTGCCCCAAATGATGTGAAGGGGTATGGGATGGGGGTTGGTGGTGGGCATGGGAAGATGGGAGGGACAGGGAACTGGGATTGATATTTAAAATAATATTGTTTCTAATTTAAATTTTTTAAAAAATCTAGGGAAAAAAAAGGGTCAAGATCATGCTGGGGAAATCCACCTAAACAGCTGACCTGAGCAAGTGGGAGCTCAGGGACTCCGGACTGCCAGCTGGGGAACCAGTATGAGACCTAACTAGACCTAACTAGAACATGGATGTCTATAGGGGAGGCTTTGGCAGTTTTTTTGGTCACTGGCAGTGGAACCAGTATTTATGTCTTGTGCTTGAATGGGCTTTTTGAAGCCCATTCCCCATAGAGGGATACTCTCTCAGTCCAGACACATGGGGGAGGGCCTAGACCCTGCCCCAAATGATGTGACAGTCTTTTATGACCCCCTGGGAGGCCTCACCCTCTTGGATGAATGGATGGTGGGTAGGATGGGGAAATGATGAGGGGAATGGGAGAACAACAGGGAGAGGGAACTGGGATTGTTATGCAAAATAAGATTGTTTTAAATTTAATAAATATTTAAAAAGTGACTATAAGAAATACACGAAAAAAATCATAGAAGGAGAGGAAGTTCCAAAGAAATGTGAAAGTGAACATGGCTGTTTTTATTTTTATTTCTAGTTATACTCTTAAATTAATAGGGTTGACTCACAATGATGGGGAACGCAAAGTGTGGACTGTATTTTAAAAAAACTATTCACACTTTCATATAGTTTTAAAAATTTATTGTTTGACTACATTTCAGAAAGGCAGTTATATTAAAAGGCAAAGTGCTGGGCATTGGTGGTGCACGCCTTTAATCCCAGCACTCGGGAGGCAGAGGCAGGCGGATCACCGTGAGTTCGAGACCAGCCTGGTCTACCGAGTGAGTTCCAGGACAGCCTCCAAAGCCACAGGGAAACCCTGTCTTGAAAAACCAAAAAAAAAAAAGGCAAAGAAGTTATGATAAGCAAGTGAAGTAGCTTTTGTTAAATTCCAAACAAATGGCAAGATTTTGGGTCTTTGATTTTTATGTGTCTAGCAGCAACGTTGACCTGTAGCCTTAGAAAAGTTTTTCAGGAAGGCCATCATGTCTGCAAAGCTAATGACAATAGGGCCAGACTCTGGCCTTTCAACTTTAGGGTTTTTTTCTTCACTGAGCACTTAGTCCAGGCCTGTCCTCAGATGATCCTGACTGGCTGGGACTAGAAGGAAGCCACTCTTTTCCAGAGAAATTATGCCGTAAAAATTAGTAGAAGCAAAATATTTAAAACAATAGATTGGATTTAAAGTTATTTGGTTTTTATCTCTGATCATTCCTCCTAAAACTTGCCTGCTTCCTATTAGTCTTCACCACACTCTCTCTCAGTCTGTCTCTCTCTCCCTCCCTTTCCTTGTCCCTCCCTATTTCTCTTTCCCTTCCTCTCTCTCTTTCAATTACTGACAAATGATTTTGCTGGAAGCCTTGATTCATAATATCATGGATTTACCATGAAACTCTGAAGCTCTTTGGTATGAATAGTGGTACAGACAGGCTGAAGCACATGTTCCAAAGTCCATTCCCTACCTCTGTGCATACCTAATTCCCACTTTCCCCTGAAACAGTTGAGAATATGAAAATCTTCTGCTCCTCCCCTTTCCCCTGATTTATTTTTAATTCATAAATTCTTTATTCCAAATCTTCCCTCTTTAAATCACAATTTTAAATTCAACAGAAGGCACACTATCTTCTTCCATGGTATTTCATATGTTCTGATGGCAGACAACATGTGATTTTGGGAGGCTGAGGTACTATTTTGGGCACTGCCTGAAATGAAATGGCAGTTAAAGTTTTTTTCCAGACCCATTTCACAAAGTACATTCTGTGTGAATACTGGAATGCAAACCAGTATTTCCCTCTCATAGGTATGCTATAATAATATCTTTGCAATGAGTCTTTAAGTCCTTTTTAAGTTCTGTTTTCAGACCTGGTGTTCTGATGCCAGGCATAGAATGGTAACTGAAGACCGGGTTCCTGACATTAACGAGTCATGCCCAGAAGGACTCAAGGTAGAAACTGATTAGTATGTGCTATGTATTCAAAAACAATGCTAGCTGTACAAAACACTACCCAGTAAGTATACTGTTCCCGAAAAACAGTGTTAGCTGTACAAAACAAGCCCAGTCAGTACATGTTGGGCATTCAAAACCAATGTCAGCTGTACAAAGTAGAATCTGGACTTGCAAAGGACTTCTGGAAGTTGCATTTTGGTGATAGGGTGGCAGAGGAAAACAGCTGGTGGAGGAGTAGAAGAGGCAGAAGCAGAGTATGAGCAAACGGGGATGGGGAGGAAGGACAAAGCCCAGAGGACAGAAAACGCAAAAGCACCCTGGTTGAAGGCCAGCGAGTAACTAGTGAGGCTTTTGAGTTTCCTCCCCCCTCTGACACAGAGGGGCACGGATGCTACACACCGGGAGGAAGACAGTTTTGATGACTTAAGGGTGTGTCAGGCTTTTAGTGTGGGCTTTATTTTGCAGAGGGAGGGAGTAGTTTAAGTGAATAATGTATGTAAGATTGTGAGACCATCTGATACAGCACGGGCATAGAGCAGTAGCTTTATAGATGACTGTGGTTATTATTTTGGGAGAGTTGTGGTATGCGTGTTTAGAAGAACCTCTTACATATTTTCTTTTACCTTATGTTTCTGTGTATTTTCTCATCCACCAATTGCCAGCATAATCACCAGTCTATAAATATTTCCCCCCCTCACGTCTCAACAAGGAAACTTCTCTTTGCTACATACAGAGGCCACTACAGAAAACCACAACCAATCAAAATGCAGAGTTGTGGAGCTCAGTCCTATTGATTACAGCTATCTAACATGCCACTCCTAAGGCTCAGGGAGCATTGCAGAAGAGAGAGCTGAAAGATTTTAACAATGAGAGGATCAGGGAGTTTGCTGCATAATGGTCTCCTGGTAATGTCAGAAGCTACATCGATAAGTCTCATCAACACGGCTACCTAAACATGAGATGAACAAGGATGATACCAAGGAGCATTCCAGACTCAAATGGCAATAGCCAAGGAAGCCTCAGTCCTCCACAAAAGACTACAGGCAACTAGGAAAGGTGGGACAGGTGGTCTTCCCCAGGGTAAATCACACCAATGCCAAATAGTCAGCTCTGGAAATGTACTTGCAAGTAACATTATACAGACTGAACAGGTTGTATTTAGGAATACATATACATATGATATATATATATATGTGTACATAATAATAATTAGTTGAAAAAGAATGCATGAATTTGAAGGAGAGCAGAGGTGGATATAAAAGACGGTTTGGAAGGAGGAATATTGTAATTAAATTATAATCTCAAAAATTAAAAAGATAGAGGGGGAAAATGAGCAGGTCTTTTTTCTAACATGACTATTCACTTCCTCCTGTCTTTTATCCTGCTATCTATTTCCTAAACTAGATCCATTCTGGCTTTGAAATTAACTATATTGCCTAATCAACAGCTGTTTATCATGGAAGAAAATAATATGAAACATTGACATTCCAGTATGCTAATCTTGTCTGCCACCAATTTACATCCCTCCCAGGTGTTATTTTGTTCTTTCTATGAGAATTCTGCAAGGTAACTGATTAGGAAAACAGAGTTATCAGAGATCACATGTAATAGACAAGTTTGCATGCCTTAGAGGAAAGAAGAATTCCATAGGTGGTGTATAGGGGAGAGACTGGGGACTCTGATAGCGAAGATGTTTATTTTCTGCTTTCATGTTCTCTTTACTCAGTGGAGATCTCGGCTTATTTAGCACTTTGTGTGATTTTTTTAAGAAGTATTTTTATTTATTTTTTTATGTTTCATATTCCTTCTTGTATGCATCAAAACTCAGAGTGAGTAGTGAATTCTGGGTGTCAAGAAAGGATTTGTATTGAACCTGTCTTGACTGAATTTGTCTGCCAGTTGAACAAAAACACACCTAAGTACTGTAATAAATGGTTTTATTGCAGTATGACCTATCCACTGGTAAAGGTTCAACTATGACATTTAGTTTATTTACAGACTTGTGTAATTATTAACACAATGTACTGATCATTTTCATTCACCTTTTTCAATTTTGTTCCAGCCACTTCCATGTAACACAAAAAAATAAATGACCCAGAGACTGATATTGGGATTCAAGCTTCAAGATGAATATCAGAAAAGCAAAGCAGCCAGCTACTAGCTTCTTTCCTCTACCTCAGGCTGAATGGGCTGGTCCTGTCTCAATGAGCTCTCACCTAGTCTCAAACTACTGTCTCTCCTGGGTGGGGCTGGAGAACATGAATATTCCATCTTCTGTGTGGCTAGAGAATGAAAAGCCTCCCTGAGACCTTGCTTCTATCATATACTTCCCTAATGCTGGGATTAGAGGTGTGAGCTGCAATTCTCTTTTAGACTGACTGTTCAGTCTTGTGTAGATGTGGGTGGCCTTGGACTCACAGATAGAGTCTACCTCTTTATCCTGAGTGTGTACCACCACCTCCTAGCTTCTGGCTGCTGGGATTAAAGGTGTGTGCCTGGCTTCTATGGCCAGTAGCTGACTTTATTTTCTGAATCCTCAGGCAAGCTTTAGTAAATCATAAACAATAAATATCTCACCATACTTCCATGTTACCAACTCACCACCCGCCAATCAAACCACAGTAATCACTATCCTTTTCTAGCTATTGATTGGCACATTGTGAGAGTCTCACGTATGGAGTCATGTAGTGTGAACTAAAGGTTCAAGAAGGTATCTTGTTGTAGTAATATCAAAGACATATTTCTTCAAATGTCTATTCCACACTCTGGATATCAGCCAGTAGTAAACATTTGAGCTATATTTATATATCTGCTATGAATAATGTAGCAGCAAAAACTTGAGTATAAGTTTTTGTGTGCACATATGTTTCCATTTATCTTAGGGTTTCCTTTTGACTTGAATTTTTCTGAAGGTCAATGATGCCCAGTAGGTTTTTATGTATTTATGAGCCATTTGTATAGCTTGGTTACAGAATTATCTATTCAGACTTTATCTCCCATTTTTAATTGGAATGTCATTTTACTTCTTAATGTAATTCTTTGAGTATCCTAGATACAAATCAACGCTCAGGGCTGTAACTTTGCAAGTGTTTTTGTCTTGAGTTTCCTTTATACTTCCTTTTAATTTAATTTTATGTTTATTTATCAATTTTTTCATTTATTTTGCATACCAACCACAGCTTTCCTTATCCTCCTCTCTTCAAGGTTGGTCGCCTCACCCCCTGCTTCCCATCCATCCCCCTCCCCTTCCACTATTTCTCATTTCTATTCAGAAAGGGGCAGGCCTCCCATGAGCTTGAACAAGGCATAGGACATCAAGTTGAGGCAGGACAAAGCTCCTCTCCTTGCTTCAAGACTGAACGAGGTAATCCAGCATGGGGAACAGGTTCCCAAAAAAGTTAATGGTGTCCTTTCAAGCATGAAAGTTTTAACTATTGAGAAAGAACAACTTATCTCCTTTCCTTTTTTTTTTTTTCCAAGTTTGTTCCTGATGTACCTAAAAAAATTTCCTAAAACCTCAAACAATCCCATGGGGGATTAGGACTATTAAGACATGAATTTGGGAAGGCACAGTTCAGTGAACAAGTGTAATATTTTTGCTGGGTATCAGGATTATAGGGGCTTCAAAAAATTGGGGCAGTGTTTTGGTTTTCTAATTTTGGGGAGACAATTGATTTAGTCATACTTTTCTTCCTATTTTGAAGTGTTTTTCCTTGTTTTTCAGTGTTTTTGCTGTGTACACTTTCTTTATGCTGTTTGAAACTAGGATGGAGTTAATGGAGTAGCTCATGCAGTCCTTTGAATGCAATCATTTAGAAATTTTGACAATTATTTCCTTGATTGTTTTTTGTCCATTTCCCTCATTCCCTCTTCTAATTACGTCCCCCATGTATATGCATGGACATAGTTCATCTTGTGCTATATTCCTTGAGGCTCTACTCAATTTTATTTTAAAATTTACCCTCTTAAAAGCATTTCATACCTGAGTACTGTACTTCATCTCCCCCATCCGTCTTCCCACTCCAACATCTCTTGTGCCCCCTGCCATCTCAAAATCATGACTTCTTGCTAATTAATTTTTCTTCATTTCCACTTCTTTGTCCATATAGCATAATTTCTATCCATCTATTTAAATGTTGTTTGATTCTTTCTTATGCCTGTATAAGCTAGAATTGATCCCATCTACAGAATTTTTTTATTAATTACTATTGTTTTCAGTTGCAGAATTTCTATGGAACTTCCCATCCACCTCTTTTTCTGAAAAATTTCCTCTTTGTTTTTTTGTAGCGAGCTGCCGGTGTGTTTAGCAACTACAGTGCTACCATACTTCACAACAATCAGAGGCTAAGGGCTAAGGATGAAAATAAAGACAAAGACAGCGGCTCATTCTTACAAGGAGAATGGCATTCATTTTTACAAGGGTAGAGCCTTATATACCAAAGTCAGGTATGGTGGAAAAACACCAAGGTCAGAAGCCTACCTTCCTAGGGCCCTCCAGCAAAGGGTGGGCCAAAACCAGGAATTAGCTTTTAGACAATAAACAGGAACTTGCATGCAGGCCTTACTGGGAGGAGGGAATGAGAAATGTTTTACTAAAAGCCCCTAGTAACAAGCAGTCAACAGACGCCCATGGGGGAAGGGTGTAACAAATCCGCCTTTTATATATAAATTTTTAAAATGAGCATCTGGCTTAGGTTGCCCAGGACATTAACATCTATCTTACTCATCAATGAGAAGTCTGTCCAGGCCTCACAAACCCTCTGTCTTAGGTTGATAGATGTCCTCCGGAACATACCTGTCATTGATAACTCATTTGTCTTGCTGGTTCAACCAGGCCTGCACTGAGGGGTTGTCTGTTGACAAGGAAAGTATGATCTGCTCTGTAAGAAAATGGCACTGGGCTTGTGGCCTTTCCATATGGCAAACTAGGGCTAAAGACTGTGTTGCCCAGGGTCATAATCCCAAGGGCTAGTGACCCACTCTGTTTCTCAAGTAATATACCTGTCTGTTGCAGTCCCATTAAGAGGGGGTCTCCCAAAAGGGAGGAATCCTGATCTCAGAATAGCCAATTAAGTCCATTTGTTAATTAAGATTTAAAGTGCCCAATTGTAATTAGTATAAATTTGGGAACTTAAGGTAGAGGCATCCTCCCCTGGGGGTTTATCCAGCATGCCTACCGTGGCAACTGGCTAAGAGATAGGGAAGTAAGAAACTGCAGCCGCTGTGATGTCAAAGTCTCTCCTGTGTCATGTGAGGAAGAGTTGGTTCTCTCTTGAGTGTTCCATTGGAATAGGCATAACACCTGGAAAATGGACCAACAAGGCTGATCAACAGCTTCTCAAGCGGCATTCCTGGAGGAGATAATTAAACATTTCTCCCGAGTGAGTGTTATTGAATATAGCAAATGTCCAAGCAGGCAAATCCATCCTGAGGGCTGCCTTTCCTAGACTATGGTGGGGGCTTATTATAGCTAGATACATCTGACACTGAAGACCTGCTGGCATCAGGACAGGCAGGCTCCTCATTAAAGCCTAATAAGTCTATAGGCGGCTGATGAGTATCAGCAGGAACAGAGCACACACAACACTCTGGAACCCAAATTGGGTACTCACTATCTTGTGGGAAAACACATCAGACCCCTGGGCCCAAACCAAAACCGGATGTGGTCCTCCTCTCCAAAGACCCGAGGTCAGGTCTTTCCACTTAACTAGAGGTTTTTGCTGTACAGCAGGCCGCCAATGACGATCTGCTGCAGAGTTGCCAGAAGCATCCGCAATTAAAAAATTTAAGATATAGAGAATAAATGATAGAGTAGAATGAGGGGAGCCAAGGTGGCCCTCAAGATCCCACTTCTTTATTTTAGGTAAATAGGCTTTCAAAATGCAATGAGCATATTCCACAATAGCCTGTCCTTGGGGGTTGTAGGGAATTTTGGTTTTGGGGGAGATATGAAAATCTAGACAAAAGTGATTGAAACGTCTGCTGACATAGGTGGGGCCATTATCAATCTTAATTCATTTTAGGACCCCCATATAAGCAAAAGCCTGTAAACAGTGGCTCTTAACATGTTTTACTTTTCCACCAGAGTAAGCAGAGGTGAATATCAGGTGGCAAGATAAAGGGCTGAAATATACCAGAGTGTCCCTTGTTCTCTTTCCAAGTTAATAGACAGGAACTTTTACTAGGTGACTTTGCTATGCCTATGCCCTGTAAGCTGCTAATTGTCTTACTAAAGGCATAGCATTATCAATATCCCCAAATATATGACCTGCAAGTTGTAGGACCCGGTCCACAAACTCAGCTGCTTCGTAAAGAATTTGTTTGCCCAGAGTTGCATAGGCTCCTGTGCCAGTAAGCATCTCTAAATTCCTACCAGGAAAACTGGCAGCCACGTTGCTCTGTGCTGTCTGGTTACACAGTTCTTGGTATGCATCCCTCCAGATCAAATAATCTCCCCCAGACAATGTAGCATGACATAATTGTTGCCAATCACTGGAGGTATAATTTAAGGCTGAAAAGGATTAAAAAACAGCCAGAGTGAAAGGGGCATGAGGCCCATAAGCCATAACTGCCTCCTTTAACTGTTTTATATCCTTAAAGTTGAGAGGGGAATATTCTCTCTGACTCTGGCCTTGAGGATTAACTGCCCTTATGCATTTCAGGAGGGGCTGAAGGAAGACAGAGAGAATTGGAATGTTCAAGATTACAGGCAGGTGGGCGTGGCTCAAGGGAGCATTTTTAAACTTGTTTTTTAATTTGTGGACACCTTTCTCAAGCCGAGGCTTTTCGCCTTCCTCCATCTCATTCCCTGAAGTAGAGGGAGAAGACTCAGAGGAAGAAACATTAGAAGTTTGAATTGATCTAAGTTCCTCAGTTTCATCCCCCTGAAGAAGAGGGAGAGGACTCAGAAAGGGAAGCACTGGA